GTATCTAGGCATGATTATCTCAAGTCCAATGCTCTAAGATTGATGTTTGTGAAAACTTCACTAATTGAATGTTAAGCTGGGGGTGATCTGACAATATTAATCTATATTGCCAAATTTTAAAATCTATTAGGATATAAAGTTTGTCTCAGTGAATAAATTCTTAAATTCGAAACTTTTAAACAGAGTTCTTGTCCAACAACTAACCAGTAGAGGAATTTGATTGCTAAGCCGTTCATAATCAATTAAATCTTGGATGGAATTAGTGATGGCAGTGGGGCACCCCCACCCTAACCCCGAGCCGTGCCTTGCCTTAGATGGCTTGGGATAGGGGCGGGGCGACAGCTTGTCCCGTTTGCCGTCCAATTTATTTGGTTGTTATTATTATTTTTTTCTCTCTTCACGGGAAGGGTTCGGGGTGGAGTATCGTCGCGCCCACCTCACCACGGGGTGTTAATTTTTGTTATCCCAATATGAAATCGAAGATAGACTATTTATTTATCTAGTAAAACAATACATTTACGAAATTCCATCATCCATGTCCCATTCATCACTTCAAGTACCTCATTTTTTTCTCCCCATTCCCATGTGATGTTGAGTCTTCATTAAATGACCAGGCATAATCGCTGGACCCTCCTTTTTCTCGGTCCTCAACATTTATTTTGAGATATCTCAATTAATTGATATTGAGCTGCACGTAATAATTATTGGTGGAAACAAAAATAAATTATGAATGTTATATTTCTGAAGTGGTCAAGGAACCGGGTGCACTCAACATGTTCCATTTACTATGGGAAGAAGTCGGAGATTTGTTGAATAAGTTTTTCGCCCATCGAGTAAATATATTTCATTCGTGATGTTTTAAAATTAAAAATAGCTTATTTTTTCGATTATTTATTTTTATTATTTTAGATTTCATTATGTTTGTTCGATAGAAGTATTGAAGTTCATCTTTAACTTGACAATAGATTTGAATGTAAATTTCTGAATGTATTGAATCAGACCACCTGAAATTTAATTTCACTTGACTATTGTACATTATACATCAACCCTCAGTGAATAATAGATTTCGATTACTAATTTTAAGTGCTTTGAATCATCTATGGGTGAGATCACGATCAAATATCAATATCTCGATACTTTGGGAATTAAAATGGAATAATCAGAGAATGTATATTCGCGACGTGAAAACCATAAAATATTTAATAGCGAGATCGTGACGCCAAATGAATTTTTAGGGAAATTAACACAACATCCCTACATTTCAATATTATTGTGTAAAACGTTAATACCTTTTATTTTTTTGGCATTTTCACATTTCATTGTGGAAATTATCATTTTCATCAATTTTTAATATAAAATGACAAATATGCCCTTCTATATAAATAAAACAAAAAAGAAAAGAAAAAGAAAGAATAAATTGCTGCTGTACTCCCAAATTTTTTCAAAAAAATCCAAAATAAATAATTAGAAAATCAAAATTTTTGGGGTGATCTCTATCCCCTCCAATTCTTCTGACAGCCACGAGTTTGAAATCGGGGCAGTGACCGTTCCATTGCCCAATAATATATAGCTAGTGATTTGGAGTATATTGTTGAAAATTGTTTATTGTTCGTTGTGGTGGTGGTGGTGGTGAGAGATAGATTTTTTCTTTTAATATTTTAACAATTTATTTGAACTCATTTGCACATTTTTAAAAGTTTAGAAGTATGATTGTAATTTGTTCTTTATTTTTGTTTTACGTAAATATGAGGGTATATTTGTTATTTCACATAAAAATAGATGAAAAATGATGATTTCCACAATGAAAAATGAAAATGTCAAAAAAATGAAAATTATGAACGTTTTGCACAATAATATTGAAAAGTATAGACGTTTTGTTTTAATTAACGGATTTTTACTAGACAATTAAATTTGAATTTAGTAATTCAATATTAATTATTGAATTAATATTATGAGGTGAACACATGAACCGTCGATACAAAATGGAGGGTTTAATGTTTAGTGGAATAGGATAAAATCAATAAATTATCCTGAATGATCAAGATTTGATTGTGTCAACATTAATTTATTGGAGTTTATTTAATTGAGCCTGATTCAATCTTGGTGCTTTCAAAATAAGAATTGAAATAAATTAAGGATTATAATTTAATGTTAATTGTAGTAGAATTAGTTAGTTAAACCAGAACGTATCACACGTGCCATTTATATATGGAAGAGTTTGATTTGTATTAAAACTAAAAAGGAAGAGTCCTTTTGAAATTGTATTATTATTATTTTTTATCCAACTCATGTCCATATCAATGGGCACATATATTTAGAGCCTGTTCGATAGTGATTTTGAGAATTGATTTTTTGATCGTTAGGAGAAAAGTGGGGTCCACCCGTGAGAGAAGAAGTCAAATATGACGACTGAAATAGTAAAATAACGGTCAAAAAATCTATTTTTTAGGCAAAAAATTCACTCCCAAACAGTCTGTTAGTTTAATTGTTGGTTAATTCTTGTTGCACCCACGCATATAATTTTCCTACAAATTTGAGTTTCTGAAAAACAAGGGAGAGCATCGGGTTTGAAAGGTGGAATCAAGAGATCAAACACGAAGATTTTTTTGTAAAACGTGCTATAAAGGTAATTTCTAAAACACTTATTCTTACAAAATTATTTATATTCTTGTATATACACAATTTAATTAAAATCCCATGTTCCCAACAGTATTGTTGCGGACAAGATTGTGACATGTGTGCGCTTTCCTTTTCTTCCCATAAGCTAAATTGAGCAATGATTCTGACCCAAATTTGAATCAAGCACTTGACCAACTACAGCGAAGTTGATCTGCAAGATCAAAAATCGCCCCGTTTGACCCTCATTATTTGAATTTATAATGAGGGGGATATTATTATTTTTTGAAGATTATGAGGTTGAAAAATTTTCAATTTGAGTGTAATATTATTTTATTGAAAATTGTGTGGTTAAAAATAAAATAGAGAAAAAATTGAATTAAATTGAAGAGTTTTAAAGGGGCCAAACGAGGGCTTAACTTGACAGGTAATTTATGGTGCCATAAACTAGAAAGGAAATAAGAAGCCAAAATTTTCGCATTGTTACGGAAAATTTCATGACCATCACAAAATATACGTGTATTACTCTCTCGCGAAAATAATTAGAAACACCAACAAGCACAAACAGATTGTCATGTAGAAGAAAAACCATGCAAAACAAGCATTTCAATCCTGCCCACACATCTTTATAAAAACTGGCATAGAAACACGACCTAACTAAGATTGTAGAGTTGTCGGGACAAATTTCATAAATTTTAATAGTGAGAGTAAAATTGAAAATTATAAGGAATTTCTTGAAAATCTTGTGCAAAATCTTGGATTTAAAATTTAGTGTGGGAGCAACTGACCCCACTGCTCGAATACTAAATCCGCCACTAGCACCATACCTAGATTATAAATCTTATATAGGTCCAAAATTTTAGTGTGTGAACTAGCAGGTGATCTTTGTTCTCAACACGTGACTGGAAAAAATGGCCATCAAAGGCGGACAGACAACATAAGATTGTAAAACCTAGGGAGCTGTTTTGCTGATGGAGAGGTTCAATGTTTATGATGTTTTGGAGTCTGTAGATGTTAGTTCTTATTTATTTCCAACTAGTAACACCATTAGATTTAAAGGGACACAACAATGGATGAAAATTGACAAAACTTGCCAAGTTTTGAACCAAATAATAACCTAACGGATAGATTACTACGACCTAGAAGTGCAGATCCAAAATGTTTGCAGGTTGCGGCCAGTCGAGCCAGTGTGGCCTCCAAAAGGAAATTTTGGCCACCATCTTTTCCATCCATTTCCACGACTTTCGCATTTTATAAAGCATCCGAACACATCTTAGTTTGTTATATATAGGGCATTCCTTGAACTTTTTGTTGCATAATAAGATTTGATTCTACTCCATAATTTCCCACAAGCATAATTTTTGTGTAAATATTCCACTCCAACATTCGTGTCAAAATTGAGTGATAAAGGTAATTGATGTGCGACTTTTATATAATGAAAATCCTTTATATCTTGGGAGATAATTGTTCATAACTTTGAGCGCTAGATTGAACAAAAATATTTTAAAGAAACATCGTGAATTCTCTCATACTTGAATTAACGTCAAACTATTTTTCGAGCAACTACAAGTATGATTTCAATTTGTTCATTTTCTCGACTACCTAATTCTCGATAATTGACGTGCAAATGAGGCTGGAAAAAGTTCATGGCCCAGCCCAAATTATATTGGGCCTTGGCCAATTTCAGACTGAACTTTTAACAAGCGGGCCAATAGACATGGACTTGATCGAATTCTTATAAAAAGCCCCATTTAGCTCAAATTATTTATAAATGCTTATGCCCCATTTGAGAGTGATTTTGAGAATTAATTTTATGACCATTAGGAGAAAAGTGAGGGTTATCTGTAAGAGAAAAAGTCAAATTCTACGGTTAGAATAGTAAAATAAGGATAAAAAAATTAATTTTTTGGGGGTGAAAAATCACTTCCAAACACCCCTTATTTGGGAGAGCTAAAAACTAATTTTGGTAAAAAGGAGTGAAGTTACAAAAATAAGCAAAAGCAATGGAGAAAAGAATAGTTATAGTAAATTTTTGTAATGTTTAATTAAAATTAATGTTAATATTAAGTGCATGTTTGTCTATTAATATAGCCTCTGTTTGACCCCATTAAATTGAATTTCATTTTTCTTTCTTCTATTTTGAATCACACAATCTTTCATAAAATAATATTATACGTAAATTGAAATCTTTTTCCTTCCGTTTAAACAATTCATTTTTTAAAAAAACTATTTTACTGATTTTAATTTGGAAAAAAATGGGAGCCAAACGGGCTAATTAAAATGAGTTTTGAAATAGTAAATTTTTGGAGAATAGAAAAATTAAAAATAAAAATTCAAAATTTACCTGCAAAATATTTCATCTTTCAGAGTGTGTCATTGCTAAACGTGAAAGTGTGGATGCTTCCAGATTCAATTGCGCCGATTGACATTACAAATCACAGAAAATCCTTTCGCTCTCTCTCTCTCTCTGTTCTACCCCAAAATTTTTGCTTTCTTCTTCCCGCCATTTCATTCCCTCTCTTTGCCCGAAGATTTTAAAAACGCACTTTAAAAGTTTAAACTTAAGCACCTCTCTCTCTTTCTGTATTCCAAACAGTGAGCGTTTCTATCTAAAAGATACGAGGTTCGTATGTTTACATACACATACATGCATTGTTCATTTATTTATGTATTTAATTTATATACCGAGAATATTGTGTGTTGAAATTCGTCCAATTTTTTTACGGGTCGGCTGTTTGAATTGAGGTTCAAGAAGTTTTCGCTTCCAGTTTTTGTGTTTGTTTAATTTTTATTTTGCATTTTGATTGATATTTCGATCCAATTTATGATTTATGTGCTCCCTTTCAACATTTCAGAGTTCTAGGGTTTTGAAGATATTAATTCCTAATTTCATTTCATTTTTCATGAAATTGGATCGACTTTTTACTCTCTAGGAAAGTTGATCTTTGAACATTTTGAATTTTTATGGATAATTGCTTTAGGGATCAAGAATAAAGGGAAAAATCTGAACTTTATCTTAGTAATATTACTTGCTTTAAATTGCACATTGTTTATATTTATTCATTTTTGCTAAACATAATTTTAAATTTTGTTGTATGGTTAATAGGTTATGCAGTTTTAGTGAGATAATGGCGTTGCCTTCTGTTTTTGGTTTGTTTATGTTGCATGTATTTGATTTCTCTTTTGTAAATTTTTGTTTAAGATTTATATATAAATCTGCCCAATGTTCTTTCTCATATGTTGGATGTGTACAAACCCATCTAAGAGCTTGTTTGGTTGGGATTAAAATCTGATTTTAATCTAAGTCAAAGTTAAACAATTAATATTAACCACATCTTTCTTCAGTTTTACAATTTTTCGACCACACATTTCAAAAATTTTCATCACAATCTATTATAAAATCTGAATTTAATTCCCACCAAACACTCTCTAAATGAGAATGTTAATGGGTTTCGATGATTCCGAGGATCAGTACTTTCTTTTTCATAATTTTTAAAATTGTTAATGAAATAAAGTGGGAAAGTGCTGTACATGAATGGTTAAATTGAAAAAGTATGTACTGTGGAGTGTATAAATTCACAACTTTAAATTCATGATTGAAATTCATCACTGAGCCTTTCCTGGAAAGCGAGGTGGGCTCTTATCCAAAATCTTAATATTTCTGTCCGTCCAACTTGCACCATGTATAAAAAGAAAAAGCATGGAAAACATTTATTATAGTGATAATCACAACATGATAAGAGTAATCATAAAAGTGTATGTTGTTTCCAAAACGTTATATGTTTCCTTATAACCCATTGTATTTCATCTTGGTTCTGATTGAATGAGTTATGAATCCTCTTGAAAGTGAGACAACCTGCTAAGAATCGTATAAGACATGGCATTTGACATTATGAGATAATGTTTCAGGAAAGTAAGACTTGATATTCGAGAGTGAGGCATTTGCCTAAGTCTGCAAATTGTAATGTAGATAATCCCAAATCTTAGAACATAATAATTTTCACTAATTAATAACAAAGAAAATATCTATTTGCCCATTCAATTTTTAGAAATGGAGTAATTGCAATGTAGACATAGAAGAAACCAGTTTTTCTATGCTACCACTCTAGATTGCTTAATATAATGATGGATCTCATATGTTTCTTGAATGGTTGGAGAGTTTATAGATCTTGAGAATGTATTTCCGTTGGACACGTACATCAACCTGGTAAGAGTTCATTTATGAATATTCACTAATTACATTATAAGAAAATTTTAATTTCATTAAAGCATTTGTTTACAACATTTTCAAACTCTTGTTTGACTCGTGATACTCCTTAATATGCTTTATTTCACCTATTTTGCATTAGTATTTTTTTAATTGGTCAAAATGTTATCATGGTCAAACTAAAAGGTAACGAGAGTGATGGGGGTCGTACGTTATTAGTTCAACATAGTACCTTTGATGTATTACTCCATTAGTTCCTAACTTCACATGATTTATGAACAAAGAGCATTCGTTATGGTCTAGTTGTAATGTCTTGTAGACCATTCTTGCTATCATTCATTATGTATACTTTGAAGAACACAAGAAACATAAGAAATATAAAAGTGAGCCTAGAGTATCAATTAATTACATAATATAGATTTTCAATAGTTAAATTCAGGACCTATTCTTTCAATATTCATTAAAGCGCGCTCTCTCTCTCTCTTGTAAAATTATTTTATAGGAGAATGTATGGTTGAAAATGAGTTTTTAAAAAAATAATTTTTGAACTAATGGGGGCCAAACATAGGCTATATGTGTTCTTCACCCTTATATTATTTTTTATTTTTGAAAAAGGAGAAATTGTGCAAAATTATGATAATAAATTTTCAGCGGCTTGGTAAAAGTGTAACCTTAAATCTTGAAATAAAATTCTGTAATTGTAAAATATTCTTGTTTGTGTATACTGGGCTTGAAATATTATTTGTATGTTAATATTCCTTTAGAAACTCTATTTTTCTGAACGTCCCCTTGTTTACAGCCTGTTCTTGGTCCTGAATATAGGAAAGGGAGTAAGTTTTCAACTTATATCCTTGAGGATTAAGCATGCTAGTATGCTTGATAGATGCAGTTACGATGGTTTACTGTTAATTAATCACAATATTTCTAAGCAAAACCAATTGGTAGATTTCCATTTTTGACCTTCAAAAGGCTGAATGACAAGTTGTAGTTGCTGTTCACGATGCAGGCACAGACAAAAAATAGTTTACCGTCTCACTTGTCACAAGGTGTCCTCCTGTTATTGGTATTGGCACTATACTTTTGTGGCATAAAGCAATGACTATATTGAAGCTCGAAATAATGGAAGGATGAGAAAAAAGTACAGATGAAAATAGAAAAGATAGTAGTACAAGGAATTTACTTGGATGCGATTGTTTCCATACTTTGTGTGTGTTTGGTGCCATCAATTTGAGTATTTTTGTGTCAGGATTACTGGTGTCAATGAGTCGAGCCGAGCTTTTGCTCGGCCAAGAAATCTAGGCTCAAGCTTTTTTGAGCCGGGCAGGCTTGGTTTATTTATTTATTTATAGATATATAAAATGTTAATGCTGCCTAAAAAGAGCACTCGGCTGCCTAAAAATAGGGCAGCAGGCTGCTGGCTTATAAAAGGCAGCGTGTTGCTGCCTTTACAGTTTTTTTTTCTCATTTTTTTGAATGAAAAAGCTCGTGAGCCACATGGGCCGGCTCTGGTTGGGCTCGGCCCGGAACCCCAAATGGGGCTCAAGCTGGGCTGGCTCAGGCTTTTTCCGGGCCAAGCCATTGGTTGCCTAAGTTGGCCAGCTTGATTGTCGTCCGTAGTCAGAATAGAACCAATAAATCTTTTGGTATGGAGAAAGATAGCTATGGTAAATTTTCATTTTTGGGTCAATTCCTAAACAAAATATGTAACCTAACAAATAGCAAGAAAAGGATAAAATTGACTAGAGTAAACTATAACATGATCAAGGGGAATAAAAATTTAAGGTTAAAAAATCTGTGATTGACTAGACACAAACCATAACTTGATTGAAGTGGGAATAAAACTTTAAATGTTAAAACATCTGTACTTGTGCAGCTTCCTATGATTCAACAGAATACGCAGAGTTTTATAATGAAGAGCACAATAGGGGTTATGTGCAAAAAGAAAGTTAAAAGGAAAAAAATCTGGTTCAATGAAAATACCGTGCAGTTTATGGAAGTTGAACAGAATCACCTACTTTCCTGATTTTTTTATTTTATTTTTTAAATTGAATTCTACTTGTATGCACTTGACTTAGTAGAGTTATCAAGATTCTGTGGCCAGAATCAAGCTTTTAATGGAGTTGAGCAGAATGAACCTAGTTACCTGATTTATTTTTTTTATTCACTTCTACTTGGTCATACACTTGAAATCATGTTTGGTAGAGTTATCTGTGAATCAGTCCTCTTCTTGATTACTTTTGTGATCACATTATTCCCCATACTGTTTTCTTACCCCACCACCCACCTTGTCTCGGAGTGAGTGGACATTTTTCTTTTCTCATGTTTCTTTAGTTCTTCGGTTTACAATGTGCATATTTCTGGTTAAACAATGAAAATACTGAACATAGATAACAGGAACAGTGCCATGGTTAATGAAATGACCTACTGGCGAAGAGTTGAGTTGAAAAACTTTGTGGCGGCCTATAAAAAATGATTTATCCATCTACTGTAAAGATGTATCTTATCATCATATAATGCAAGCTGTGAAAGCTTGATTGTCCGATGGAACGTGAATTGACTTTTTTGATTTCCCCGGTAATATATGTTGATAGACGGTTCTTATTTGTTTCTCTTTTGAGGTTTTTGTGCCTTGCGTCTATGCCCATTGTTGGGCGGTCCAATAGTTCTCTCATTATCCAATTGCCATTTAAACATCTCTGCATTGCAGCTATAGAGGCTTCAATTTGTAATAACTATTGTCGTGCTGCACTTTTCATTTTATTTTGTTTATATTTAGCCTAAGAAAGCTTCCTTGCTTGCTGTTTTTTGCTTCATCATGGTTGTTTCAAAAATTTTCCCCCCCTTTTGTTACAAAAAGGTGAACTTGGTAATGAATGAACTTGAAAGTAATTCCTATGGAAATATCTTTGCATTTGTTTGCAGTGTTGTCTTGGGGGAAAGAGCATAGTTATCTGGTTTGAGCAGGAAGAGAATTTGCAGTTCTGTTGATTACTACTCTTTGAAAAATTTGAGTAGTAGACTTTCCTATTACTACTGCTTGTTGAGGATGGAGTGCAATAAAGATGAGGCCTCTCGAGCCAAAAGGATTGCAGAGGAGAAGATGGAGAACAATGACTTTGAAGGGGCGAGAAAGATTGCCTTGAAAGCACGAAATTTGTACCCTGAACTTGAGAATATACCACAGATGCTGGCCATATGTGATGTTCACTGTGCAGCTAAAAATAGGATTTTGGGATCCGAAAAGGACTGGTACGGAATCCTTGGGGTTGGAAAGTTGGCTGATGAATTGACTATCAAGAAACAATACCGACGACTTGCACTAGTTCTCCATCCTGATAAGAACAGATTTCCTGGTGCAGAAGCTGCTTTTAAGCTGATTGGGGAAGCAAATTTAGTGCTTACGGACCCAGCAAAGAGGACTTCATTTGACAGTAAGATTAGAGTTTCAGTTCGATCAACTCCATCAAATCAAACCCCTCATCACATAAACATAAATCCTTCTTTTAAGAAACAATATGGATTCCAAAACAAAGTCCCAAACTATTTTGCTGATAAATTCAGTGGTCTGAATCATCATCAAGCAACAGGGTTTAATTCTACAGTTGGACAGGAAATGTTCTGGACTTGTTGCCCGTTTTGCATTATTAAATTCCCTTGCCAGAAAGAAAATGGGAACAAATCTTTGCAGTGCCCTTACTGCTTAAAAACCTTTATTGCTTATGATGTAGGTTCCCAAGGTGTTTCCGTAGGATCCAAATGTAGTCAACCCAGTGCTCCACACGTGTTTTCGAAAGCAGGGATACCAAACCAGGGCCCCCCGAAAAAGGGTGTGCAAAGTAACACTACATTCCCAGCTCCTGGTGCAGGATCTCAGGGGAGTGCTAGTGGTAAAGCACTTGGATCAGAATCAGGTATGCGGACCAATAGCACTGCCAAGGTCAGTGGGGATGTGAAAGTGAAAGAAAGAAAGACGCGGAATTTCTATTCAACGAGTGGTGGAATTTCCAATGGGGATGAAATGACTAGAGAACCAGGAGATCAGAAAAACAAAAATAGGAAGAGGGGAAGGAAGAGGGCAGTGGAATCTAGCGAGAGTTGTGATACATCAAGTAGTGATGACATAGAAGATGTGACTGTTGAGGAAAATTTTGGAGATCCTGCTAACATGGGAGATTCTGGACTTAATAGTAACCACATTGTACGAAGATCAACTAGGCAAAGGCAGCATATCTCATACAATGAAATTGATGATGACAATGACTACAATGACATTGCCATCCCTCCAAAGAGATCATGTAGTAATAGTAAAGAAGAGCAAGAGGATTCTCTAGATACTGAAGATTTGACGGGTGGTGATGCAAATAGCTTTCATACTGATGCAGACAACACAAGAACTCAAGAAATAGATGATTCTCAATCAGATTCAGATGAAAAAATATATGAGTGTCCCGATCCAGAATTCAATGATTTTGACAAGGGCAGAGAGGAAAGCTGTTTTGCTGTTGATCAAATGTGGGCTTGTTTTGATACATTAGATGGCATGCCAAGATTCTATGCACTGGTCAAGAAGGTAGAGAGTCCTGGATTTAAATTGCAAATTACCTGGTTAGAAGCTGATCCAGAAGATGAAGATGAGAAGAATTGGGTTAGAAAGGAGTTACCTGTTGGTTGTGGCCGATTCAAGCGTGAGACGACTCAATATACTTCTGATCGTTTTACATTCTCTCATCAAGTGCTTTATGAGAAAGGTAAGAAGAGAGGTTCTTTAGTAATATATCCTAGGAAAGGGGAGATTTGGGCTCTTTTCAGGGACTGGGATATAAGGTGGAGTTGCAACCAAAAGAATCCTAAACATTTCAAATATGAAATTGTGGAGGTTCTCTCTGATTTTGTTGCAGGTGATGGTGTGAAGGTTGCTTACTTGGATAAAGTTAGAGGATTTGTGAGCCTATTTCAGCGAATGGGCAAGAGTGAGGCTGATTCATTTTTGATACGGCCCAATGAGCTGTTTAGGTTCTCTCATCAAATTCCTTGTTTTAGAATGAATGGTGCTGAAAGAAGTGGAGTTCCAGAAGGTTCCTTTGAACTTGATCCCAATTGCATACCTCTCAATCCTGATGATTTGTGGTACCCAGTCAAGGGAAAGGCATTCAAGGAAAACATGGATGCTGAAGTCAACGCAAAGTAATTTTGCACCTGAGAGTATGAGCATGCTGAAGTTGTGGACTTTAGATGATTGTTGAGAAGATGTCTAAACAAAAAACGCCTTCTATTTTGTAGTATATTATTAAATGTAAAAGGAAAACATGACAGTGAATCCAGTCCATGGCAAAGCAATTGCTAAATGCTACTCTACCCAGCCATTGGATGTATATTGTGAATTTGAGAGGGATGAACTTTGGGATCAGCGATCTGTGCTCTGGTGAGAGATTCTGTGACTTTTAGTTGAGTCTTTTTTTGGCTGTTCTTCCAGTAAAGAATGATTTTGCATGGCGTTCTGCTTACCAGCTCACTGGGAAGGATCAGGTCTTTTAAGCAAGCTAGGAGCTTTTATCCAGCCACGGTTTCAGGGAGAATATATGGAAAAGATGAAGTTAAGGAACTAGAATCCTTGTGAAATTAAACTGTTGTTACTAGAAATGATTTATGGTTTACCATGTGTATTTTAACATATTGCCTGGACAATGACCTTTTGTAATTGCAGCTGTTTTATTCTAGATAGAGGATGAACCCCGTGTTTTTGCCTTGTAGCGGACCTCCAGTTAGGTTTATTTCTTTGATGATGTAAAGATCTGTTCTGTTAAGACATGCTAATGGTGGAGGGTTCTGTATGCAAATTGGAATTACCTTTTCTTTTTCTTTTTCTTTTTCTTCTGCTATGATCTCCTTTATGTTATATGGTGCATGAAAACAGTGTTTGGAACGTGCCTAAGCTTTTGCTCGCCTCTAATTTATTAGCTAATGGGACAGTTAAATGTGAATTATCAGTTCTGATGCATTTTTCTTTGTACCTGCAGCATATGACATGAATAAAATTAAGAAGAGTCTGAAAACTTGAGAACAATTGCTGGGTGCTACCTGTACAATTTTCAAGATCAGCTATATGTGTTTGAATAATGCTATTCATCGTTAGTAAAAATCATTACAGGTATATGTGATAGTGAGTTTTTTTGATTCATTGGTCAATGAAGTTGTGATGTATTTTAATGCATTGGACGATAAAACCAAGGGATTCATGATCATCTGCATTAATAAAGATACATACACATGATGAGAACATTACATGTTTCTTGGATGGTTGATATTTTATTGCTAGAAAAAGTGGAAACGTACTTTAATATTCAAGTGAACAATTATTAGGTTGGGTATTTGGTCAAGTTAAACTAGTGACATTAGTTATGGTGGTAGGTAGCGACGGGTCGCACAACATTTGAAATTATATAAAATTTTGAAGTTTTTAAATATATATATAAATCACATTTTGTCCCATCTCTTTTGTTGAAATTTTGGCCCTGGTTATATGAATGACTATTTTTTAATCAATGGAGCATATTTGTAGTAGGGTATTTTCATTGCTTTGTCCAAAAGCTATTGTCAAATCACTCTCGTTTCAAGTGTGCTCTTGCATTACCCACGTAGTCCATCGAAATGCTCCAGAATTGACTATAAAATAGGATCCCTTGCTCTAGAACCAACCTAATCTAACTTGTTGTCACAATTTTGTTCACATGCTATATTTCATGGCACAAATGCAATTCACCCCATATCACCAGAATTAAATTTAAGAATTCATCCAAAGCCTAGTCCGTCAGGATTATCCTCATTTCAATCATACTCCTATATTAGTATGCATTTCGTAATAAATGTATCTCTAGGTATTCTTGTGATTTGTGCCATCAGAAATTGACTTTCGTGAATGAAGGTTGAAAGAGTTGATGATTACTATCATTGCTTGTAGAAGTACAAGTAACTGAATTTGCATAAATGGGTTTTTTTTTTTTTTTTTGGCTAGGCTGCACTCTTACTCTTTCTTTAAATTAAACTATAATAAATGTAAAGTTTGAACAAACTCTTAAGATCGTGCATTCTTTAACCTGTAATTGATAAAAGACTTGCGGAAGAGAGATACCAATATATATTTATTTATGTAATAATTTTTACAAATTACCTTATCTCTTCTTTTGTTTACCTGATAGTAGCGTTTCACGTCTTTTTGGTTGTACTTTCCAATTATTAAGAGGTTGGAATAAACTAGTGGGAAAAAAAAAAAGAAAATTAAAAAGTAGAAGTAGAGTGATAATCACTATCTTTATAAACTTCCGTAATTTTTTTTATTTTTTTTATTAAGCGAATAATTTCATTCTTATAAGTGATATTGAAGACCACATCTTTATTTACCAATATCTTGGTTAAATCAAGAATTAAGATAACGATTAATTGTAAATGAAATTAAAATCCTAATGTAATTATAATTAAGAAAATTAGAAATAAATAAATAAAATAAGTCGTTTTTGGATCCCTAAATGATGGTTTGTGGATTTATTTCATCAGTATTCAATATATAATTTTTATTTTTAACATCTACCTGCAAAATGTGACGCATTTGAATATACGAATTTTGAAATTCATATGCTTTTTTGAATCTTAATTTGACCTAATCGCTCGTTTAAAATTAACGGACACTGATACCATTTTAAAACCTGATGTCTTAAATGAAAATTCAAGTTTTAGCCCTTGTGTGACTGATTTTTTAAAACTCATTTTTTTCGAAACTTATTTTTAATAACACACTCTCTCAATAAAAAATAATTTTACACATGAAATCACAACTTTTTTCCAATCTTTTAATCATGCATTATTCAAAAGTATTACCTTTTACAAAATTTATTCTAAAAATTCTACTTCATACATGTCCTTAATAATGCCAATAAATAATAGTTTGTTTGGCTTAAAAAGAAATTGGAAGTCGGCAATGAGAGTGTTCTTAATCCCCCAAGCATCGACATTTTTCAAACCCCATCATCCACTCTTTTTTTAAAATTCATTTTCAACCACATATTATCTCATAAAATAATTTTATGCGTGGACTCAAATTTTTTTATCGCACATTTTTCAAAAAATTGTTATTCCAAAATACATTTTCCTCCAAAAATAGGTCTCGAGCAGGGGCTGAATTATTCAATATAATAAAGTACATGATTTACCAGTAATAGTATATACTCTTGTGAAATTCCAATGGTTTAAAGCCCAACGTAGACTATTAATACGCGTCTTAACTTTTAGATTTTTTTTTTATATTTAGGCCTGTTCGATAATGTTTATGAGAATTGATTTTTTGACTGTTATAGAGAAAATTGGATCCTATTTGTGAGTGAAGAAGTAAAAAATGACGATCGAAATAGTGAATAATGGTAAAAAAAATTGATTTTTTGGAACGAAAAATTGATACAAAACGGGAACTTAATACTAGAATCAGCTTAACAATTCAATAATAAAGCTAAGCCTCTGTTTGGCATAGATTTTAATCAGACTTTCAAAGAGATCAATATTAACCACATCTTTCACGGGTCTCACAACTTTTCAATTACACATTTCAAAAATTTCTATCAAAATCTACTAAAAATCTAATTTTAATACCGACCAAACATCCTCTGAGTATGGAATCTTGTTGATCATAATGATGCCTAGACATCTAAAATATGTATTAGAAGTATTTATAAACGATTTAAATATAAATATATAAAAATGACAAGTGAATGATACTTATAAATAAATGTGAGCATAAAAATTCCTAAGCCAAACGTATGCCAAGTCTTGAGTGTTATGTAGAAAAAAGACAAAAAGAGTTGCACTTTGCACTGTTCACATAATGAAAACTAAGAACTTGTTTGATTCTATTTTTTTCAAAATACGTGTATCTTTCTTTTCTATTCAATCACACATTATTCAATAAAATAATATAACATAAAAATTCAAAACTTTTCCTTATTTTATAATCAGACATTTTCCATGAACCACTATTCCAAAATACAATTTTTTACTTCTTAGAAAAAAGTTGGCCATTCAACCAACCTTTAAAAGTAAATCTGTCATGCAACGTTTCCTACCTAAAACAACCCCAAAACAATTTCTAGAGAAAAGAAATGGGATTTCCGGAGTGAGAGTACGGAAAATGGACAAAGTAGGGTCAAGGTTAATTCTGTCAATTCATGTGGTAATTAGAATAATTAATTTTTATTATTTCACCTATTTTAATTATATTTAAGGTCCTCGATCTTTGTTCATTTTAACATTTATGTATTTAAGGTTTTTGTCAATGAATTCTTATTTTCAATATTTCATTAATTAGAAGATCTCATTCTGATAATGATTTTCATCTAAAAAGTTTGCAAAGAGGTCATAAAATGTCTTAATTTTTTATCATATTTTAAAAATATAAATACAAAAGTATGCTAATTTTTTTTCCTCATCTCAAAGCACGCAAACTGTATATTTTGAAAGAAATCATCACACAAATGAGATGAGCTAATTAATAAGAAAATAAGAACTAAACGAAAAAAAAGTTAAGAATATGAGTGTTATAATGAGAAAATATTGAGAATTTTAATTTGATTAAAATGTAGTACAACTTATAAAACTCGCAGTGTTAATATAATTATCAATGTTCTAAAAATCAAATAGAAATACTAGTTTAGTTATGCTTGAGAAATTGTTCGTTTGAAAACCATTGCCAAATTGTTAAATCGGTGGTTAATCGAAAATCAGTGTACATGGACACGATTTTCGTGACCTTACCGATTAGGATCTAATTTCAAAAAAATAAAATAAAAATTTCACTAATTTTTCAATTTCTTTCTAGATCTAGAAAATGATCCTAAATCTTTTCACCTCATCTTTGACGCGGCTAAAGAAACGAAGATTGGTGTTGCTTTATTTCCCCTCTGTTATATTTTTAGATTTATGAACTAATTTTTGCCGTTTCTCTTTCATTTTCGGCGGCTTCGTTCTATGACTATGGCTATGTTCATCACAATTTCCAAAAGATGTGGTGTGTCCTATCACTTTACTTCTTTCACATTTTAGAGCATTTCCAAAATATTCTTTAAAAAGAAAATACTGTTTATTTTCGAGACGAGTTCCAAGAAACTCTCTATTTTAACTTTTTAAAGTAGAGAATACGTTTGACTCTCCAAATTTATAGAGACAAACTCACTCTATATTTTTAATGTACAATGATTGCAATTTATACATTTCAAATTTCAATATTTTACAATTTAAAATTTTCTTGCAAGATGTACACCCTCCTCACATGAGGGAACCTCATGATTAGTATGGACCCCCCTCATGTGAGAGGGGTGTAAGCTTGTACAATTTGAATTGACTGGCCATTAATATATAAAAAAATTATATTTCAATAAATATGTAGAGAAATTATTAAATGTTCCTTGAAAAAAAACAAAATCAAAATAGAGAGTATAAAAAAAATTACACTCTAAATTTAAAAATGATCTTTATCATGTATAAGATGCTCTTTATAAATAAAGAGTTTTTTGAAGATACTCTTATATATTTATTTATTGTGTTGCATTAAATTATTAATTAACACAAAGAATATTTAATTTAATCTTGATAGTAAATTAGAAATGCTACTGGCATGGCTGCAGTTTATAGTTGACTGTCTAGATTTGGAATTATTTTATTTTCCCGAAAGTATGTACATTTTTAATTATTTTTTGATAATTGATTAAACCTCGATTCAACTCTTCGATTCTTAACTTTTTTTGGATTGACGTTCGATACAACTTTCAAACATTGATAGCTACCCATCATTTTGTTCAAATATTACTTTTTCAAGAAAGCCCGCAATCTTTCTTTTATTAATAGTAGGGAAAATTGCAATAATGGTACCAAATCTTTCACTTTTTTACAGATTTTACTTTAAACTTCATTTTGTGTTACTCACAGTTTTAAACTTTTCAAAAATATGCACTCGAGGTCCGAAACCGTTTATTTGATAGTTAGTTGACCAAAAGAATCAAAATTTAATCAGTTTTGATTAAACTAAAAAGGGCAAAATGGTATGTTTACATTTTTCCAAATATTATTAACAATTAGAACAACTAAATTTTAAAAAAAAAAAAAATTATTATTCTTCTTCTTCCCAAAGCTGCCATCGCCATCACCATCACCACCACCACCACCACACCCAATCCCCACCTTAACCAAACCCGTCGACACCTCCCACAGCCTACAAGCAATCAACTAATCAGCCACTTCCCAAAATCACCACAACTCCACAGCCTTCAACCACCACCAAACTACCATTTCCTTGCCTTCTAGCCATCGCCCAAACTAACCCAACCCAACCTCCACCCCCACCCCCACGCATCATCCAACCAAACACAATCCAAAGCCATGGACTGCCACCACCAAACCCATAGTCGACTTGGTGGACGATAACCCGTCTATCTCTAATTAATCAATTCAATTCTACAAGAAATTACCAATGGAGAATCAGACCACCACCATCTCTTACGCGACTGCAACCCAGAAAATTCGTTTGAGTACTGACCAATATGATGCACTTTTCATAATAGAAACCCTCCAAGCAAATCAAGCTATTGCTATAACCGGGATGCTCTTTTCCCTCCTTGAAACCAAATGGCATTGCCCTTATGCTTGGTGTAGAGAGTCCCCTTCACAAATCCACGGCTCTTAGCTTGGATCTTGCTAATTGCTAGGAGATCACAAAATTGGTCAAAAAATGGATTTTATGGACGAGAAAACTGAAACCATGTACACCATGGGAGAAGAGAAATAAGTAAGGATTGCTCAAGTAGATCTTCTGGAATTCCTATAACTTTTGGAAAATGTAGTAAAACTCTAATTGTTAGCATGTATAAATCTATTATAGGAAAAATTGTAGCAGAGGTCTTAGGGTTTATGGGCGATCCTAGCTTTTTACAATAGTTACTGTCAAGGTCTTTTATGCTCGAAAATCATTCAAATGATGTAAAGTGACATATCGGAGGAATGTGTAATCCCACTTATGTATTGTGTATGCTCATTTTATTTTCTGTACATATAAATCAAGAAGTTTATTGACTCTAAGATTTTCGCAAAGATGAGGTGACACGAGGCTCCTTTCCAAGTAATTCTCGAACTTAATTGGACCCGTTATTTGATTCGATTCTTCCTGAGTTAAATAACAGAGCCAATCTCAGAATCGAGAACTGACGAGTTTTAAATTTTTTATATTAAATAAATTAATTTATTTTAATTTTTTCTAAATAAATTTGCCAACTAATCAATCTATCCCAAAAATATGATTTTTTTAATTTCATTTTTCAACTAATTAATTGACCCAAAAATATCATATTCCTATTTTCTACTCAGGCCTAACTTTCTAACTTAAATTTAAAAGAATCAAAATTGAATTACTCAAGTTTTTCTCAATCATTCTGCCGTTTCTCAAATAATCGAAACTAAGCAGCTTCACCTCTCATCATCTTACCCTTTATCTGCCCTATTCATAGAATTTTCTCTACTTTGGTTCGAGCGATATCATTATAGAACCTACTTCAATCGAAGAAGTACCCGATCTCACAATTAAGATTTGAAAATTGGAAATAAGGTCAAGGACCTCTTTGCAATTTTCTGTCTGTGTAAAAAAAAAAAAATTACATTATGGACAAATATGTATGGTGATAGATGCTTTGCGTCAGATTGAATGTAAATAAATATAAGCCTCAAATGAGGAAGATGACTCGATTCAGATTTTCGTGTAAAAATAAAAAATAAAAAAAATAAAAAAAAGGAAAAAAACGTGACCTCTCAAATGTGTGCAAAATCCAAAAAGATGGCATTGACTTTTGCTCTCTCTTGTCTGACTATTACTCTTTTTGTAACTTCAGAATTCACAGATTCGTTTTAATCCATCAAGATGGTTCTTTCCTCTCGCTAACTTCACCGTCCTCGTTTCGAATCCTACCCATAAACACACTGATACACAGACATATATTCATACATAAAGAATACTAATTTTGTGGCGTTGAGGATTGAGATGGGGGCGTCATCAGTGGTGTGCTCGTGGCTAATGGCGGCATGCATGTCAGTCGCTTGTCAAAATGACTCTGCCACGGGCAATCCATTTTTTTCGTCTTCATCGATGTCCTCGAGGTTGGGCAAATGGGCTTCGCGCCGGAGGAAGAGGGATCTGGTTAAATTTGCGTCGGAGTTTTCTGGCATTAGGAATGTCGTGACTTCTTGCTTGGCTTTTGAGCCATGCGACCAGTTCTATAAATCTTCTAGTCGTAACTTTTCCACAGCCGATTTTTTCTTCGGCTTCAGACCGACAAATGTTCCCCTGCATCGTAGACGCAGAAAACTCAATCAACCTGCTGCTGTCCATCCTGGTATTTTTTAATTTAAAGCATAGTTTGAGTTTTTGTTTATCGACTGTTTGGGATTTTGTTTGGGTTTCTAATACGCCGTGGCCACTGTATGGCATCATGCTTTTGTTCTTAACTTAGTTTGAAAATTTGAGTAAGAGTCAGTTGTAGGTTAATTAGTTATATTTATTGTTTAATGTTGCTCATGATGGGTTTGATTATATAGAATATTATACTGTATTCTTGAGTTTTATTTTCTAATCTAATGTGTCCTTAGGTTATATTTTTAGCTCTGGGATTCATACTTTTCTAGACTGGATTTTCAAGAACCAGGGCTCGTTTATTTGTTGTTGGATGGGTAATTAAGCTTGAGTGATGTATGGCGGTTCATTGTGTAGGCATGGAGTCTGAAATGTCATTTTCTTGAAATCTTAGAGAAATTTAATTATCATGAACAGGTTTTTACTCTATAATAGTTTAGTCAATTCTTCGACGAATCTGTTATTTTAGAGAAGAAAAATAGCAGAAAGTTTTTCGGGGTTCTGATTTTGCTTTTCTATAAGAAATGGCTCTTGTACCATCGTCAAACTCAAATGCAACACCACCTTCATCAAAACTAAACACCAATTGCCAATCAAACTTCTGGATTGGAGAGTAATTCTGGTAAATTAGTCTCTTGATCTTCGTACAAGTTGTTTTCCCTCTTTATTTGATAAGCCCTGGATTTGAGCATGTGATTGCAGATTCACGTCTTAGAAATTAATTTGCAGTTACCTGTATTGTCTTATGTTTTCCAGGGTGGGTGAGGGAGGGATCCTTTTAGGTTTGTCCACCTCCATGGTAGTTGTTGTCCACTGTCTTGCTTTTGCTTTTCCTAACAATCTCTATTTCTTACAAAGTGACACCATTGGATCTATGCAGAGCCGGCCCTGAAATTTTGGATGCCCTTTGCGAGATTTTAAAATGGTCCCCTTCAAGTAACTAAAACATATACATACATCAACAAGAAAAACATAAATAAAGCTTAAAAGCATCTCTCGAACTTCATCAAAATTCATATGTCATCAACAAAGAACCATCCAAGCCACTAGCCTTTTCATGCAATTCCATATAAGCAAACATTGAAAAAATACATATATCAAGTGTAAAGCTTGAAATGCAGCAAATCATGTAAAAATATTTCTTCTCGCGTTTTTAGAAACAAACTCACTAATTAAACTTTTGTAATCAATATTTTCTAGAAAGTCTTGCTCAATATATATCAAAACGAATTCATTCAATCGTTCTTGTAACATGATTGATCGCAAATAAAATTTTAAGAACTTCAATTTTGAAAAACTTCTTTTAACAAATGCAACAGTAATAGAAATTGTCAATAATATCCTATAAGCAATACATGTATTCGAAAAGCAATCCAATCTTTTTAAATAAGTCAATATATCAAAAGCCATCTTTATTTCTTTTGGTAAAAGATTTCGCAAAACTTTTAACTCTTGAAATAAATCTTCGCCATCAAGATTGCAAAAATTTACATATCTTAAAACAATATCAAGATGATCACAACATGCTTTCAAATTAGCATCATCCAATGAGTTTAACTTGTTAGAAGAAAATAGAAATCCAAATTTTTTTGCATATGAATTGAATTGATCAAACCTTCGTTCAAGTGATCCAATTGCTTGATCTACTATATAAAGAAATAATTGGTTCTGAAAGAATCTTCATGTGATTGTGCATCATCTACAGAAGCATTTTCATCTACTATATAAAAGAAATAATTGGTTTCTCTTTTCTCTGCCTCAATTATCTTTGAGGCAATTGAAAAAGATGATTTGTTTCTTTAATTCTTTTCTCCAAAAAGACGATTGGAAAAGTCGGTTGCTCAATTTTTCTTTTTTCTCTTAGTTCTTTGGCTAGCCTGATATCTTTTTGACTTACCCTTTTCCCTCACATTATTTAAGGTAGGAATATTATTTAAGAATATTATATTCAAGGAAATTATAATTAGTTAGTCACGTTATTCTTAATTTTAATATTTTATGCATAATAATAAAAATTTTATATTTTAAATATTTAATTATAAATAAATATACAACTATAAAAAAATAATAATTTGGTGCCCCTACGATTTTGAGGCCTTGTGCGGTCGCTCAACTTGCGTACCCTTAGGGCTGCCTCTGGATCTATGGGTGGTTCACCATGTTGTGACTTACTGAGCCAGTGTCAATTTTAATTTAAGAGAATTGATTGGTCACATGGATACCTTACCTTCAGGGCCTTGAATTTCATAAATTGTAACTGATATGTTAAACTGAAATTCATCCATTTTTATGAATTTTGACTACCTAATAGTCTGGATTCTTGTTATTGGGTTATTCAGTTGTATTTTGAACTCACTGGCTCTCACATAAGTTATAGGAGAAGCAGTGGCCATACCTGTGCAACCATCCATGAAAGTAGCACCCGAGAAGAAACCTCCAACCAATCAAAGGCGAGTGGTTGTAACAGGTATGGGCTTGGAGACACCACTTGGTCATGATCCCGATGTATTTTACAGCAACCTACTCGAAGGTGTTAGTGGCATTAGTGAGATAGAGGCCTTCGATTGTTCCCAGTTTCCAACAGTATGTCATCCTGTGATATCCCTTTAGTTTTTTTAGAGGAAACTGATTTCGATGTCTACTCTAAGGTTTTTCTTATCACAGAGAATTGCTGGAGAGATCAAGTCCTTCTCAACAGATGGTTGGGTTGCACCCAAATTTTCTAAAAGAATGGATAAGTTCATGCTTTACATGCTCACAGCAGGCAAGAAGGCTTTGGCCGATGGAGGAATTACAGAGGATGTGATGAATGGATTAAATAAATCTAGATGCGGAGTTTTGATCGGCTCAGCTATGGGTGGGATGAAGGTAAGTTTGATTCTTTTAGAGAATGTGATGCCTAACACAAAACAAAAAATAAAAAGGAAAATATTGATACACAAATAATAAATTGGATTAAATGCGGATTGTGATTACTTGGCACATTAAAAAGAAAAATGGAAGAAATATTGTAATCAAATGGATATTTATCTAAATAAAGGTTCCACTGTTCATATAACTTCAAAGTTGCACTGTTGGAGCTGGAAATGTAATAATTTGTAATACCTGATGCTATTTGGTTCTGATGTTGTGTGTATGGTAATATAGGTGTAGAAGCTGCATAGGCATCTCTTTCTTTTGAATTATACGTTTGAACCTTTGCCAATTGGTCATATCTTGGAATTGATAATAAAATTATTGTTTTTTCATCATGCACACAGTCAAATCTCCTTACAGCTTTTTGGAAGTGTGTTAGCAGGTTTTAGTGTCCTCATCCAAGAGCCTACGTACTTGGAATTTGGGAGAGGGGGGTTTCACATAATCCTTTTAAATCAAAATTAATCGTGCAATTATACTATAAAAGAACTTATTATTTATAGTACGCCTTTCTAATGATTTTGTGGAGAGATTCTTTTAATTGTCTCAATAACTTGTTTTCTTTTTAACCGCTTCTGAGTTGCTTTGTTATTTGAACAGGTTTTCTATGACGGAATTGAAGCTCTGCGTATCTCATATAGGAAGATGAATCCATTTTGTGTACCTTTTGCAACTACCAATATGGGCTCTGCCATGCTTGCCATAGATCTGGTTAAAGAAGTTCCCTTTTTAACCATTGCAACTTGAGCAATCAATAAACCGTTGACATCCTTCTGAGATTTAATTATTACTATTCTACAGGGATGGATGGGCCCAAATTACTCAATTTCGACTGCTTGTGCAACAAGCAACTTCTGTATACTGAATGCTGCTAACCACATAATTAGAGGTGAAGCTGTAAGTTTCATTCTCTTTCATTGAAGGAGCTCACTGTACCATTTCTAATTTGTTTCATAACTGATGAATCAACTTATAAGTGCCCAAAATTAAACTTCTTACAGTTGACTGTCATGTTTCCTGATACTTTTGGGATTTTCCAGGACATGATGCTTTGTGGTGGCTCAGATGCAGCAATCATACCAATTGGTATATGACTTGTCCTAGATTTATATCATTTCATGGACCAGAAATTTTCATTTTCCAAGTAATAAATTTTGGTTCAGGATTGGGAGGCTTTGTGGCATGCAGAGCACTTTCGCAGAGAAATTGTGATCCTACCAAAGCTTCACGTCCCTGGGATAGTGTAATACTCTCTATCTTGCCTCCTTACAATTTCTCGGATCAGAAAATTCATTCCACCAGTGCTAATTTTAAAATTGATATTTAGTCTGATTTCAAAGAGAGAAATGCTTGTTCTTGCTATATGGTCTTTCACTCAACTGAATGGATCTCGAGCATCCTAAATGTATTGTTTGTATCTTCTTAAATAGGCTTTTGATGAAGGGTTTTTTTTGTGTGCGATTTATGGTTTGGAAGTTCTGATTTCATATTTGTCAACCATTATTTGATTTTCAACTAATAACGGTCTAATTTTCTTATTTTACTAGTAGTCTAATAGTGAAAGAACAATTGTACTGAAAACCCTTAGCTGTAGACTTTTAGAATTACTGACGATGGAAGAGCTAGTTGAAGCCTGGGGATACCTGCTTGGTTTAGAGTAGCAACTTCCCCTATAATTGAGTTATTGAACTTTGACAGAAGCGTGATGGATTTGTTATGGGAGAAGGGGCTGGAGTATTGCTTCTGGAAGAACTTGAACATGCCAAGGTATTCTACAATCCCAATTTGTAAGAATGCTTTTTTCTCTTCAGTTTGGATATGAACTTGTTGTAGGCAAATTTATCCTCCAAATTCTTTTCCATTTAATTTCTGGATAAGCAGAAAAGAGGTGCAGATATATATGCTGAGTTTCTTGGTGGAAGTTTCACTTGTGATGCTTATCACATGACAGAGCCTCATCCAGAAGGTAATATCCCTATTTTCTTATTGCCCAATAATTCATTTGCAAAGTTCAGATAAATTGATATTCTTAGTTTGCAAATATGACAACCTAATATTTATTTTAAAGATAAGGATATTAGGATTGAATTCTCAAGTCCACATTGAACTTTCTATCGTGTGTATAATGTAAGTATTTCTGATTGTCAATATCTTGTTGGAGTGCACTGGCTAGCAGTAATGATATTCACTATTCAAATATGAGAGTGGTCTTTCCCTAGTTATGCATACTGTCCACTCTTCCTCTGTGACTAAACTAATGATCACTTAAACATAGTGATATTTTGTCATTGTCATGACTGGCAACAACTAATTGAACTCTACAAAACCTTATGCCCCTCATTGTCTAAAAGTATTAAGAATTGGAAGGCATTCCTGATGTAGAATCAATATACTAATCAAGAAATAACAAAGTTAGAAGGACAGGAAGAAATAGGCAGCAAGAAAGGGGAAGAAACAGAGAGAATGGAGGGAGAAGACCGGAGGAGAAGAGAACAAGAGGGGAAGGCGGAGAAAGCAATGCTAATTTTCATTCAATTCTTCATCTTCATTAACTGAGTTCTTCAATTACTCCGAAGGCACACTTAATCGGGTTTATCTTCAGCTTGTATTCTTTGCATCTCTGTAGGACTCGACGAAGCACTACAACCATAGAAATAACAAAATAATAAACCTAATTTGAGGGCTTGGGCCAAACCCATATACAAGCCCAATAAAACATAAATAAATGGAAGATAAAATGGCCCACACAAAGGGCTTGATGAAGGATGATGTCCGTATCAACTCTCCCGGGGTGGGACTTGACCCTGTCGAGTAGGTAAATCATAAAAAGCTGCAGTCAAGCTGATACTCAAAATGCAAGTCATGCCATAGGGAACGATCTTTCTGATGAACCAAGTATCGAAATTCAACAGTTGATAATAGTGAAAGCTACAACTTATCCTCAAAGCTATGATCTATCCTAGGAGGACGATCTCTCTTTTTAATCAAATACTGATATTGATCTCCAAATAGTAAATGCTCATGCAACTAATTTCCAAAATCTTCACGTGATTGTGTATGATGAGGAGTAATTAAAGTTAGCACCGAAGGCTAGCTTGTAGAGACAAAATATTGAAACATTGAAGGCTCGAATGGGCCCGCTTAGGAAACAAATATTATGAGATCCAAAAGAGTCAAACAGTGCCTTAATCATGAATCTCAAGATAGATACGACAATGGTGGCAAAGTGACAACTGAATCGTCCAAGCGGCACACAATTCCAAGCCCATAATATTAACTAAAGCACAGCCCAATCTAAAAAAACCATGTGCTGACTGTTCTCTCTAGCCCAATCTGCGTGATGGCAAATTGGGGATCGAGTGGAGGTGAGGTGTCGATGGCTGAGGTGATTATGGATGGCGTCACTGTAAGGATGAGTGGTTGTAGGTAGTGACTGCAGTGATTATGGGCTTCGACGTTGTGAAGGTGATTGGCGGTTGGTGTGGCTGCGGTGGTGGTTACAATTGGAGACGATGATCGTGAGGTAGATGTTTCGGGGCATTGCGAGTTGCTCAAAATTGGAGGCGACGGAACTTGAGGTGGTAGGGTGGGTGTTTTCGTTTTTGGAATAGAGTGGGGTGCGATTTGTGGTTGGATTGAGCAATGGCGGTGGCGTTTGATGTAGAACGGGTTGATGAAGGCGACAAATTGGATTGTGATTGTGAACACTGCTGGTGGGCGTGACTGGCGGGAATTGGCGTTCTCGAACTTATAGTCGCGATTTTTATTTATTTAGTTTTATTTTTATTTTTTTGGATGAAAAGAAAAGTTACTGATTATAGTGAAGTTTTCGCCAGTTACTATCTTGGAGTTTGAGACATCATGGTTAATGGAAGTTATGTGGCTTGGGTTGATTGCGGTAAGTTCAGGGTGGTGGGATTATGTGGGATGCCATTAAGTAAAGGTTGTCGGCGGTGGCAGAACCAGGCAGAAGTGATTACGGTTTCTGGTGGGAATGTTGTTGTAATTTAGGCCGAGTAATGGGTTAGATTGAGTGAGTTAAGTGATGATTAACTGGGGTAATGGGCCTGGTGATTTTGGGGATTAAGTTGGGCTACAGGCATGATAAATAGCATGGGCTCAGTGATTGGGTTAATGGTTGGTTATTGGGACGTGAGGAAGTTGGTTAGAGGATTGGCTGTGTTGTTGGTTTTGTGTATATGGATTTTACATTTATAATTGGAGAGTGGGCTGAAGGTTCATGGGTTTAGCTGTTAGGGATGATTGCATGTTAATGGGCATTGGCAGTTGTAGAAGGCGGTTGGGTGGTGGTGTTACAGCAGCAGTAATGGATTTTGGGACTGTTTTCAGATTATGGTGGCAACGGTCAACCATACGCAGCACAAGTTTTTTTGATGAAGGGAGGCAGTGTTTTGAGAAAGTGAGCCAACAGGTAAAATTGTGAGATGGTGTAGATTTAGCAGGTGACTGGCTTGAGTCTAAAATCTTTGACTGAAACAAAAAAGCCAGATCCTCTTTTCAACACTGCCTTCAGATTAAGAATTTCCTGGAAGTGTATGGTCTCCATGATGGTCTAGAACTCAAAATTAATTAGCAATCTGATGAAGGGAAACCATGTTTGGCTCTGATACCAAGTTGATGTAGAATCAATATACTAATCAAGAAATAACAAAGTTAGAAGGACAGGAAGAAATAAGCAGCAAGAAAGGGGAAGAAGCAGAGAGAATGGAGGGAGAAGACCAGAGGAGAAGAGAAACAAGAGGGGAAGGCACGAGAAAGCAATGCTAATTTTCATTCAATTCTTCATCTTCATCAACTGAGTTCTTCAATTCATTACAACCATATAAATAACAAACTAATAAACCTAATTTGAGGACTTGGGCCAAACCCATATACAAACCCAATAAAACATAAAAAATGGAAGATAAAATGGCCCAAATAAAGGGCCTGATGAAGGATGATGTCCGCATCAACTCCTTAGGAGTTTCTCTTGGTATGTCAAAGATTTTTGACCGTTTGACATGGTAGAATCGGTTGATTTATGAGTGTAGAGTCTGGATTATTGCTGGGATTTCCTTTACAGGGTTTTTGCTGAAGAACAAGGTATAAAACTGCGAAAATGGCTTTTTCCAAAAAATTTTGAGTCGGTTAACATAATTTCTCCAGCCACACACACTAAATACCTTTTTTTCTCTGCACAATCTTCTTGTGTTGAGTTGTATCAATGCCAGTGGAGTGATATATTATTTCATTTTCTAGTAAAAAACTCTTTAAGAAAAGAATTATGATAACCTCATTTCATTTTCAAGAGTTTGACATTGATTTTTCACCATATAGTGAAAATCTTGGATTACAGTATTTTGCTATTCAAATATCAANACAATTCCAAGCCCATAATATTAACTAAAGCACAGCCCAATCTAAAAAAACCATGTGCTGACTGTTCTCTCTAGCCCAATCTGTGTGATGGCAAATTGGGGATCGAGTGGAGGTGAGGTGTCGATGGCTGAGGTGATTGTGGATGGCGTCACTGTAAGGATGAGTGGTTGTAGGTAGTGACTGCAGTGATTATGGGCTTTGACGTTGTGAAGGTGATTGGCGGTTGGTGTGGCTGCGGTGGTGGTTACAATTGGAGACGATGATCGTGAGGTAGATGTTTCGGGGCATTGTGAGTTGCTCAAAATTGGAGGCGACGGAACTTGAGGTGGTAGGGTGGGTGTTTTCGTTTTTGGAATAGAGTGGGGTGCGATTTGTGGTTGGATTGAGCAATGGCGGTGGCGTTTGATGTAGAACGGGTTGATGAAGGCGACAAATTGGATTGTGATTGTGAACACTGCTGGTGGGCGTGACTGGCGGGAATTGGCGTTCTCGAACTTATAGTTGCGATTTTTATTTATTTAGTTTTATTTTTATTTTTTTGGATGAAAAGAAAAGTTACTGATTATAGTGAAGTTTTCGCCAGTTACTATCTTGGAGTTTGAGACATCATGGTTAATGAAAGTTATGTGGCTTGGGTTGATTGCGGTAAGTTCAGGGTGGTGGGATTATGTGGGATGCCATTAAGTAAAGGTTGTCGGCAGTGGCGGAACCAGGCAGAAGTGATTACGGTTTCTGGTGGGAATGTTGTTGTAATTTGGGCTGAGTAATGGGCTAGATTGAGTGAGTTAAGTGATGATTAACTGGGGTAATGGGCCTGGTGATTTTGGGGATTAAGTTGGGCTACAGGCATGATAAATAGCATGGGCTCAGTGATTGGGTTAATGGTTGGTTATTGGGACGTGAGGAAGTTGGTTAGAGGATTGGCTGTGTTGTTGGTTTTGTGTATATGGATTTTACATTTATAATTGGAGAGTGGGCTGAAGGTTCATGGGTTTAGCTGTTAGGGATGATTGCATGTTAATGGGCATTGGCAGTTGTAGAAGGCGGTTGGGTGGTGGTGTTACAGCAGCAGTAATGGATTTTGGGACTGTTTTCAGATTATGGTGGCAACGGTCAACCATACGCAGCACAAGTTTTTTTGATGAAGGGAGGCAGTGTTTTGAGAAAGTGAGCCAACAGGTAAAATTGTGAGATGGTGTAGATTTAGCAGGTGACTGGCTTGAGTCTAAAATCTTTGAGTGAAACAAAAAAGCCAGATCCTCTTTTCAACACTGTCTTCAGATTAAGAATTTCCTGGAAGTGTATGGTCTCCATGATGGTCTAGAACTCAAAATTAATTAGCAATCTGATGAAGGGAAACCATGTTTGGCTCTGATACCAAGTTGATGTAGAATCAATATACTAATCAAGAAATAACAAAGTTAGAAGGACAGGAAGAAATAAGCAGCAAGAAAGGGGAAGAAGCAGAGAGAATGGAGGGAGAAGACCAGAGGAGAAGAGAAACAAGAGGGGAAGGCACGAGAAAGCAATGCTAATTTTCATTCAATTCTTCATCTTCATCAACTGAGTTCTTCAATTCATTACAACCATATAAATAACAAACTAATAAACCTAATTTGAGGACTTGGGCCAAACCCATATACAAACCCAATAAAACATAAATAAATGGAAGATAAAATGGCCCAAACAAAGGGCCTGATGAAGGATGATGTCCGCATCAACTCCTTAGGAGTTTCTCTTGGTATGTCAAAGATTTTTGACCGTTCGACATGGTAGAATCGGTTGATTTATGAGTGTAGAGTCTGGATTATTGCTGGGATTTCCTTTACAGGGTTTTTGCTGAAGAACAAGGTATAAAACTGCGAAAATGGCTTTTTCCAAAAAATTTTGAGTCGGTTAACATAATTTCTCCAGCCACACACACTAAATACCTTTTTTTCTCTGCACAATCTTCTTGTGTTGAGTTGTATCAATGCCAGTGGTGTGATATATTATTTCATTTTCTAGTAAAAAACTCTTTAAGAAAAGAATTATGATAACCTGATTTCATTTTCAAGAGTTTGACATTGATTTTTCACCATATAGTGAAAATCTTGGATTACAGTATTTTGCTATTCAAATATCAAAAGAAACAAATATGTTAGATGGAAAATAAGATTTATGATTTGTTTTTCTCTAACCGCCTATTCTTTTCATGCCCATAAGTGGTGAAGCATATCATTCTTTTTTCAAATATATTGTTGCTGCACTGTAATTATTCTAATAGTGTTGATCTTCTTACTATTCAATTAGTGAAGCATATCATTCTTTTTTCAAATATATTGTTGCTGCACTGTAATTATTCTAATAGTGTTGATCTTCTTACTATTCAATTATTTTGACCAAGTTCAGTCCTCATGCTCTTTATCCACGAACCAAAGAAAATGACAGATGTTGTTTATTGCAATTTACCGAGATGCAATTTTAACTCTCTGAGCACTCATATAAGCAGGAACCGGTCTCATTCTCTGCATAGAGAAGGCTCTAGCTCAATCGGGAGTACCCAAAGAGGATGTAAACTATATAAATGCACATGCGACATCCACCCCAGCCGGTGATATCAAGGAGTATCAAGCTCTTGTCCGTTGTTTTGGGCAGAATCAAGAGGTTTCCAAATAGTGACGAGTTCTTTTCATATCTGCACAGTAGTTATACTTTATTTTCTTAGGTTGATGAAACTTATGAGTTGTTCTATGTGTTTGCAGTTACGAGTGAACTCCACAAAATCTATGATTGGTCACCTGCTTGGAGCAGCTGGTGCTGTGGAGGCTGTTGCAACTGTGCAGGTTCTTGGCATGCTTATTTTGTTTGCAGAAGCCACTAGAAAATAACTGTATATATTTGAATCAGGCATTTGCATAAAAACCTTTTTAAGGCTCTATCTTCATGGTACTAGGTGTATTTGCGTTTTGCATTGCACCCTGACAGTAATCCCCAAAAGTTGTTGATTTATCCATCTCCCCAACTACTCTCTCCTTTATGCTCTTCACTTGTTCGTATAAGAGAGAGTTTCACAGAGACCATAACCATCCACATCAAGGTCAGTCAGGTTATGGTGAAGAATCAGCCACGTATTCGAGGATTTGGTAATTAGCTCCCATCTTCCGTTTCCCGAAACATAGGTTCCTTTTGTGTCTTCTAGGAAGTATAAACATTTTGAATCAGTATACTGTACAAGCTGAAGCCTTATTATTGTTGTTGCCATTCTGCCAGCCTGTTCCTTCAAATGTCCCTGCGAATATAAGTGCTTGTTCTGGTTCTGTTCCTTCAAATGTCCTGTTTATATAAGGTAATGTGGTTCTAGTAAGTGGGAGTCAAATGAATACAGCTATTTTGATTGTACAATTTCTTTATCCATTGAAATTATTATATCAAAATGAGCCAAGGTCATAATTTGCACTGATCCCTATGGGACATTGCATGTGTTTGATTGTTGCAAACTTCTTGTTTATGGTTCTCAATAACTAAGGGCGCACTTATCTTGTATGTGTTGTTAATGAGACCTGTGAAGTAGATTTGGCTTTGTGGATGACTATTTTACTGAACTTTGTCTCTTTGTAGGCGATAAGGACAGGCTGGGTTCATCCAAATATCAATCTTGAGACTCCAGATGATGGTGTGGTATGCTTTTTTGTTTCATTCTTTCAATAATTTAATGTGCAGGGAATATTGTTATTACAGTTTGTTGCAATGTTTTTGCCAGTCATTCACTTGGAAAGAACTAATTTAACATGGCTTAAATGGTAGAACATTCCTATTAGCACATGGAACATTGTATAGATCAGGAGCATTGGTAGAGCTAAAAGGATGCAAACATGAATGAGTCGGACAGTCAAATCATTCTTCATTTTGGATGCATTTTTTACTTCTAATCAGAATGACACAAAATTGCAACTGTACTTGTTGATATGATTCATTTTACAGAGTTACTGGTTCCTTGGTTTGGCTAGTGTAGGTTTATGTTGTAAAATTGAGCCGACCATATAGCATTTACTGATGATTCGCACGTTAATTCAGGACACAAGCGTGCTGGTGGGATCAAAGAAAGAAAGACTGGACGTTAAGGTGGCATTATCTAATTCATTTGGATTTGGTGGCCACAATTCCTCTATCTTATTTGCTCCATATAAGTAGATCTTTATGGCATGCTCCAGTTGCAAATGATGATGCCAAAGGTATGTACTGGTATTCATATTGATTTGCAAGTCTTTAATGGCTATCAAAATAGAGGGAAGAGGCTGTTTATACGATGACTATAACCGAGGCAGTTACTGTTGTGTTCATCATTCTGAGATGGTGTATCTGTAATTTTTGTCGAAGGTAGAGCTGAAAAGTTGTGCATCTGATTAGTTTCTAGGTCAATAGTTTCGGCTTTGTCTCAATCTTGATCCAAAGATCTTAACAGAAACCTTTGTTGTCCATTCTCATGAATTGAGCTCTTGTATCTTTTAAGGGTAGTTTTTTCTTATTTTTGTCGATACTATAGTCATGATGGTCTCTTGCTTTTAAGAAATTTATTTTTGTAGAGGATATTATCTGATGTTCAACTTAAGTTGTGCTTGTACATCAGTACATGTGTACGATTCTTGAGCTTCGAATTTAACTTCAAGAGGACTGATCACGACTGTTAAATAAAATTTTTATTCAGATAGCAATACCCTTTTGCCTTTAGTTTAAGTATAGATCATCGAATCAATTTTTCATAGACTACATTTTTGAGATTTTGGTGGTGTCCAATGGTCGCGGCCTATGCATATGCAATATTTTGTGTGACCATTCCTAAAGAGGTCGGTTTTATTGTTGCTTGATCGCGAAAGACCTACAAATCATTTAGCCAAGAGAAAGGCTAACCTGTTTTATGGATGTTTGTAACCTCGTTAGTTGGTGAAATTTGAAGAAATAGATAAAAATTAGTGGTGGTAGGTGATTATTACTTGTGTATCTCACGAAATGTATATGTAAAAAATGGTTTGAATACGTATAAACATGACAATGCACAGGCTTTGATTGTAAAAGCTAATCGGCTTGCCAATTCTTACATCTAATATGCTCTTCAATGATGGTATGGATAATATTTTAATTTTATAACTAATTTTCTCTCTAAGAAAAAGTACCGGTACACAAGTATACATCAGAAAAGATCACAAATTTATCAATTATATTTTAGAAAATAATGAACGTAAAAATGCGAACAAAATACTTTTTGAAATAACTCATTTTTAACTTTAATTAATACAAATATATATTTTAGAACTTACTTACTCACTGATAGTAATAAATGATTTTGTTAAACTTAGCTTAATATGCACAGAAAAGAAGTAAACGGGATTATATTATGAGCAATGCTATGTGTAGCCTTACATTCTTTTCACATGGGGGGTTCACACACAATAAAATATGTGTGGGCTCTCCCTCCATGCGAGGTGGGTGTAAGACTAAGATGTACACATAGTATTATTCTTATATTATACATGCGTGAAGTCAGGAATTTAGGACAGTGAGGACATATCTCAAGTAAAAAAGTTTTGAAACATGACAATAACCAATCGCGGATATTAAATATTATATAATTATTGATTTTCATACTTCAACAATGTTGCATAACGACATCATTATTAATATATCAATGAAGCATTTGTATGTATGCGATCTCAAACGTTAAATAATAATTCATTGTATAAACTCTTAGTCAAATATGTGCAGGTTCTACACTATTTTATTCCGTAGGAATTCCATCATTTTTGTATATTGGATCATGCCAAGAAAAATTAAGAAAATATTTATTTATTTATTTATAACTAAAAAATAAATGCTACAAAAAGGATTCCTCAAAAATTCTTATAAAATTTAGAAAAATGATAAACAGCCAGACTCAAAAACAAGGAACAAAAAATAGACTGATGTGGCAGCAAGTTGTTGAATGATTTTTTAAAAAAAAATTTCAAACTCTCCAATTAGGCATCGACACGTGTGTAGCCTGTTTTTAACCCTATTTCTTAGCCTATTTCTGTAGCATTTCTCTAAAATTTAACCAACAAACTTAAAAATGTTATTCCGAATTAAAAATAAAACCAGTTAAAGCCAATTATCAATAAAAATGAACAACACATACATGATATAATAGAAATAACAAATTTCAAAATTTATGGGAACAAGGAGTAAATAGATATTTGTTGGTGGTTCATTTATATCAGTAGCAAGATCATAGTGTACAAACGTTGATAAACTGTCGTGTCCACTTCATTATTATTGTCAAGCCTGTTATGAGATGTAACCTTGAACAAAATGTCTTCAACTTCGACCAAAGTTAATTGATATATAGCACGACCTCCGGGGCATGTTTGGTGCATTTAGCTCAAGCCAACTTTGCTATTAATTTGTGATACACTATTGCTTAAACCTACTTATCGGAATGTTCTAAATCATGAACATGTGAGATCACTTGAGAAATGGCATGGACGCTCGAGAAATTTTATTGAGAGACTTTCTTCGCTATAAACGCTTACAAAATCTGAGTAATGTTATTTGCAGTCGTTCATTGCCATTAGGGGCGGAGCCAGGAAATATTTTCAGTGCGGGCATAATTTAATCCAGGGGCGGACCCACATAGGGTCATGTGGGGTCAAATGACCCCCACAAAATTTTGCCCCTGTTGTTTTGTTTTGTTTTTGTTTTTTTAACAATCTATTTTGATACACTTGTCGAGATGTCAAATGAAGTCAAAATATTGCATTCTTAATACCATTTCGAAGTGCTCATGGCTTAATTTTTCACTCATTAATGGCATGCGAAGTGGTCAACTATAGCAAAAGTTATGACATGTTAAAGTAGGGCGTTTGAAACTAGTATTTTGAGAATTTCGATAATATCCGAACTTTAAAAATTCGTTTGCGATCATGTGCTATCTGAATCCACAAATCGTCTATACCATGTAAAAATTTGTTTCGAAAACTACATCGTTTTCATATCGAATGGTCCAAACGGATATCGAAAATAGTTAAATATGTATAAAACGTACGCTTCAAAAAAGACGTCTAACTCGTTTTTTCTTTTAAAAAATTCAATTAATTATTATTTTTTCACAATAAATTTTTCAATATAATTTATATTGTTTCATTCGGAAGCCTTACATGAAATATGACGTAAATTTTTTAGGATCGTTACAGATTAAATGCAATTTGAATTACTTTCAAATTATATTTGCTTTAAATTTGAATTTCATTTACTTCCTGAACTAAATTTGAATTTTATTTCAATTCATTTAATTTCTATATTCTATTTAATTTACTCAATGTTAGTTCAGCATTTGCCAATGAAATGATAAACGAAACTTTATAAATAGCAAAATTTATTTAATAATATTAATAATGATTTAATTATATGACGTTTTCAAATTGTCAAAATACATATAAACTTATTTTTATTGATATTATGTTGTTAAAAAAAATATTTTTAAAATTTTAACCCCACAATATTAAAGGTCTGGGTCCGCCCCTTATTTAACCCATGTCGAACATTGTGTTTTGGTCATGAATTTAATGATGATAAAACTATAAAACAAAATCATGGATTTGGGCTTAAAAATAAAACTCATGTGAATTAAATCATGCTTTTATTCTACCTCCCTGTTAATTAAAAATAAAAATAAAAAAATTGTTTGGGCCTAAAATTTCAGTGTGGCTCCGCCACTGATTGTCATAGTCGTGCTACGTGGCGTATATGTGACGGTTAGTGATTTGATGTATTAATGTGATAGTTTTTTATTGTTTTGTGTAAGGCGATTGCGATAGTAAGCGAATGCAAATAAAATTATTCCAAAATCTTGTCCTTTAATTCACTTGGGTTCAGCAACAAAACAGCCTGTCCTTAAGGGACAAGCATTGCCTCCCTGTAATATTGATATTTTAATTTTTCTTGCTCTGGCAGGATAAGTGATATTTCATGAACTAATCAATCTCCTGGATCTAGCCAATGTCTGTATACTTGGTTTGATTAATTAAGCAGTAATTATTAAATCCATTAAACTAGCATATATTGAAAGAACTGAAGAAGATTATGGACAAACATCCTGATTCAAGAACCAATAATTAATAATTATTTATTAAAAATAAATAAATATAGGCACTACAACCATCAACAGTGCAAAAGAATCCAAGAAGACCGAAGTGTGAACATTTCTAGATGCGTACATTTTTCTTCTTTAATTATGTCCAGTCGAGATATCTGCTGTTTTTCCGTGGGAGTGGTCGACAAGATCGATAAGGTAAAGTGCATTACTAGTAACCCTAGCAACGTTAGTAATCTTTCTTTTCACATCAGACCTAATATATCCTTCAACCTCTTTGAACCCATCAAGGCAAGTATTATCGTTAGACAAGGCAGCACTAACCCATGTCTCGACGTTGCTCATGTGCCACCGGAAATCGCCACTCTGGAGTTTCTGCAGCTCCGACAGGGTTTGGCTCAGCTCGTCCATTGAGTTCCCTATTAGCTCTAAGCAGTCGCGTACAGCACCTTGCTCCTTCTTGCTTTGGCTCTTAAGTTGGGCCAAGAAATTTGATGCTGCCTTCGATCGAGAGAGGCTGACTTTCACTCCCGCCTTGGCGAGATCACTCAAGTTGGTGACGACGCCGGAGTAGGAGGAGAGGGTTCGGAGGCATATCGCGGGGTAACTAGCATGGGCACAAGATGTCCGGACGAGTTCCTTTCTTGGTGCATTGTGATTTTTCGCATGGGTTGAAATTAGTGCAAGGAGGAGAATAAGGAAAGATAAGAAAAATGGGGTTCTCATTTCGACTAGTTGGTGGTGGTGCCGGTAGCGGAGGGGGAGGCCGTGGCGGCCACTATGTGCTCTTGTGTCTCAAAAGTGTGAGAGATAAGACGGTAGTTTTCTTGGGGTTGGTGACTTAAATAAGTTTGAGATGGGCTATGACCAGTGTTTTAAAAGGTATAGCCCTCTTTTGGCCCCATTTTCATAAAAATGGAAGGAATAATATTTTTTTTTAAAAATGAGTGGTTAGAAAAGAAGAAAATTTTTTCGATTTATGTGTAATATTATTTTATGAAAAATTGTGTGATTGAAAATAGAAAAGAGAAAAATGAAATGTAATGGAATATAATTTAATGGGGATCAAACAAGAGCATAATATGTGGCGATGTGTGAAGGCTAAGTTATGAACTACGCGAGCTTAGCCGAGGCTTAAGTGTCAAAAAACGTTTTTTTATTTTAATATTATTTTAATTTTTAAAAAATCAAAAATTTATTTAATAATTAAAAATAATACTTACTAAATATTTAAAACATATTTATAGGAACGTTATACATTTTTTCAATGTTTCTAATAAAAAGATAATTTTCAAATTTAAATACAAAATAGTGAATAAATAGTATAGAAACTTCAATCCTATCGAACTCTTTATCGAATTCCAATTTAATATCCTCTTGTTTATCTAATTCGTCCTCCATGTCTTCAGATACAAGTAGGGCTGGGCAAATCTCCCGAACCGAACCGAACCCGAACTCGAACCCGAACCGAACTGAACCGAACCCGACGGTTCTTGTCAAATTATATACCTGAACGAGTATCTGAATTGAGAACCGACGGGTACGGTTCAGTTCTCAATTCTAGACCAAGAACCGAAGAATCGAATAAGAATCGAATCTTTCTAAATTTTTTTATATTGAGTAAATCAAATTATTTTAATTTTAAATTTTTTCAAACAATTTAATAAATTAACAATTTCTAAATCCAAATTTTTGGCCCAATTACCCATTTTATTATTTCATTTCTTAACCCAACAAGATCTAATCCACTAAATAACTCTAAACACCTACACTAAAGTGCATAACGTTGTTTCGACTCTCGCACTCATTCTCCTAGCCTCGCTGACATTCCAAAACCTATACAATCGTCGGTCGATGCTGTGACCTCCGATCGAAGTTGCGACCGTAGCGATCATTTGAACAAGGTAGTCTACTAGTTTATGACATTCCAAAATCATTGAATGTATCATTAGTTGTATTTATATAATGTTGTTATAAATATTAAAAAATTTAATTATAGTACAGAACCGAACGGAATCGAATCGAATTGAACTGAACCGAATGGAATCGAACCCGAACGGTTCCATATTTATATTTGGACCCGACGGTTCCATTTATTAGATACCCGAAAATTTTGGTTAACCGACCCACGCCCACCCCTAGATACAAGTAGTTGTTTTAAATTAGGGGAAAATGAAGAAATTAGTTATTGATAATTTTTTAACAACACAAAATTTTAAAATTTTTTTTAAAAATGCTGATAATGCGCACCAATGCGTCCATAATTGTGCTTAGGCACGACTTAGTGGTCAGTGATTGCCGTTAACCACCAAATAAGGCGTCAAGCTATTTGGCTTAGTGGCTTGACATTTTGGCCGAGCATCACGCTTAGACGGCGCCAGGGCATTTAGAACACTGGCCATGACTAAAATGTAAAATTATTCATTTTTTTGGTTTAAAAAAATAGATTTCATCCTATCTTATTATTAAAAAATAAGTTTATTTATTTATTTTTGAATTTGAAAAATAAAATAGCATTTATTTTAAAATTAAAATTAATTTTTAATCAATTTTCTATCTAACTTATTAGTTCTCAGAATAATATTTTTCACAACACTCGCAAGTGACATCTTCAACGAAATTATGTTTTTTCTATACCTCTTGCACTTGTTTGGGCTCCATTAAAAGTGCATTTTGGGAAAAAAAATGTATTTTTGAATAATAATATATTGGCGAATATGCTATTAAAATATAAGAAATTTTTTTGGATTTATGTATAATATTATTTTATTAAAAAATAGGTGATTAGAAATAAGAAAGAGAAAAATATATTTTTGAAGAATAGAGCCCAAACAAGAGTTCTAATTTTTAGCTTTCTTCGGCTGTCTTTCTATCATTTATGTACATTAAGAAAGCAAATTCATGGGACATAAATTGTATCAATAGTTTGGCAATTTGGTAGATTAAAGAGAAGTAAATGCACCGGCTTGGAGTAATTGCTCAGCAAATGATAGATCAACACGTGTCCATCATTAACTGCCCAGTCCAACAACTGAATGAAGCGTGTTTCAAGTACAGCATTTTTTACATCATTTTTGTCAGCCCTTTGATATTACACTTGTGGGCCCTGTGATTAAAATAAGTGAAAATTCTGCCGTGCACCTACCTTTTAATAAGGAAAATGTTATGTGGACACAATACATATAGTATTACGTCCCCTCACATGAAGGGGCTCCCTACGCAATAAAATATTCGTGGACCCCCACACCTCATGGAGTACACATAGCATTTTCCTTAAACTATAGTTAAAATACTTTATATAATTATGGTTTTAGCAGTACCATAGAACCCAAAAAAAAAAAACAAAACAAAACAAAAATTATTTTATTTTATTTTTTCTCGCTTTCTTCCATTCTCTCCCTACCCACATATGAAAATCAAAATCTACTTTGGCCTTCGCTAGATCTCCAAACCTCCTATAAATTCAAAATTTAAGGTCACTAGCTCAATGAACAATAGAGGACCACGTAATTCATTTACATTTTAAGTTAAACTTAGGGATAATTGTAGCAGAAGCATCAGACCTTTTAAATATTAACAGACTTTCTTCTAAACTTTCATTTGTTGTAGTCGTCACATCTAATCTTTTGAAATGTTGCATTTGATGTCCTTTTGGATAAAATTTGTCCAATTTAATGTTAGTTGACCAAGGATATTATTATATAAAACAACAATTAAAATAATTAAAAAATCGAAAGAAAATTTGAAAAAGGAAAATAAATTACCCTTCTTCCAAACCAAACGCTCTTACCCACCTATGAACCACCACCGGTTGACAACACAAATCTCTAAATCTTCAAGCTCCTCTCTCTGTAACGCATGAAATGGCTCACCCAATTTTTGAATAACTTGGTGCTGTCACACTTTTGACTGAACATAAATCTATGGGTTTGCAGCAAAAAGATTTGTGCAAATTGTAACACAACTTCTATTCCCATATGGAGGAACAGTCCAAGAGACCCTAAGGTTTAATTTTACATTCAGGAATTTAGTTTTCTTTTCTTTGTGATTAAACTATATTGTGAAGAGTGTAAACTGACTATGAATTTGGCAGTCACTTTGCAATACTTTGTGAGATTCATTTCAAGAAGAGAGGAGAGTGAAAGCAGCCACTGTTGGTACCATCAATAACGTTGGTGTTAAACACCGAGTTTTGGATAGTTCATGGATTCATCCCAACTTACAAACTCAGAATATCTCTTGCTTTTCTTCATCATATAGTAATGAATACAGTAATTGAATGATGAATTGGTTCAATTAATTGTACACCCAAGGTCGTATTATAGTGATGAGCATTCAATTCTTTGCAATTGCATGAAAAAAGCGTCTGCGACCCATCAATTGGAGGCAAGACTGCCTGTGGCAATTTTGCAAAATGGGTACATCTTCCTAGAAATTGAAGTAATATTTTAGGCCTCTTTTTGTGATGTTGTTCTATCAACATGTACGCCTAGATATGCGATTAATGGTGGTGGTCGACAGTAATGATTGTTGTCGAAAGTGGTGTTCTCAATTTGTGAATGGGTGGAAAACCACGGTTGTTTTTGATAGATTTCTTCCTCCAAGTTTGTTTTCGACAAATTTCTTCCAAAAATGATTGTTTGGCTTGGTTGTTTGTTGGGGTGTGTTAAGGGTTTGATATTGCTAATGTGAGATTTTTTTTTTTATTATTTTTTTTTGCCGGCTTTTGTCGTTGGCTGTTGGTGGGTCTGGTTTGACCTTTTTGGCTTGGATTTTTTCCTTTCCTTTTTTATTATTTTATTATATTTATATGAAAAAATATTTAGTTTACCATTTTATCCTTATAAAAATAGTTAAATTATGGTCAAAATCACATTTTTACATCAACTAACGGTAAATTGAATGGATTTCATCCAAAAGGGCCTTAGATGAAACATTCTTAAAGATTTGGAGTGACCACTACAACAAATGAAAGGTTAAGAAAAAGTCTGCTAACGTTTAAAAAGTTTAGGCTTATGATGATATTATTCCTTAAATTTATTTAAGTATACATGCTTTTTAATCCACTCGTGCCTTCGTTCTTGCACATACACGAGATCTATGAATCCTATAGTATAATGAAAACAAATTATATCGTAGCTAACTCTTGTTTATCCTCCATTTTTTATAAAATTCGTTTTTAATCACACATTTTATTGGACATACAATTTTTTTCAACTTATCCATTTATTAAAACTCACATTTTTTTTTAATTAGTTTTCAATCACACATTTTATTGGACCTACAATTTTTATCAACTTTCTAACTACACACTTTATCAACTTTTGTCAAAATCTACCAAAAATATGATTTTTAGCTAAACTAAAAAGGGACCTATTATGGTAAAATTTCAATAAATTAACAATCTCGTTTAAAAAATAAACGTTTTTTTATCTATTCTGGCAAGTATACTAAATTGATAATCTTGTTAAATGTATACTTGTTAAATGTATAAGAGAATATTTTAACTAAAATTCTATATGTCCTATTATATCACAATCCTACAAGTAGTCAGTACCGTATAATAAAGTGAACATAATCCAAGCATCGAACTCACGAGAACTAAATATCTAGTTTTCAACTAATGCAACTTTAATCGAATAACACAATTATTTAGATTGTGTGATTTATTTTAACAACTTAAACATACAACTAATTTAATTATGTAACTATTTGGTTGAAAATTTTGTATGAGCACTCAATTAATGAGTAAAGCATTAGGAATCCCGAATCCCCTTACATTGGGCTGTTTGGGCCCTATTTTTTCATTCAAAAAATTGATTTTTTGATCGTT